TTGCCAGCACTAATCCAGCACTAATTTTATAGCCCGGTCACGATACAAAAAAGTTACATTTTTGTGTAGATCCCCTGTAAAAAGGCCAAAAATCGACTTTTCAAACACTTCTACAATTAGTGCTCGGTCCCCAGTGAACATTTTTTGGATCTGAGAATGGCATTTGCCAGCACAAATTGAGCACAAATTTCTCAGCCTAGTGGCGATACAAAAAAATCGATTTTAAGGTACTTCACCTGTAAAGTGCCAAAAATCGAAGAATCGCTTTTTTCACATTTTTCAATTTGTGCTAGCTTCCCAGGCCAGCACAAATTAAACGGATGGTACCATTGGTCAGCACAAATTGAGCACAAATTATTGGCACCGGTCTCAGCCCAGCACAAATTATGGGGGGGGCAGCGTAATGTACCTGGTAATTTTTTGCATTTTGACTGCTGTACACACCAAAATTTCGGAGGGGAATGAGTAATCTAGATACAGTGCGAAATAACGGTTTCAACTGTTTTTGGATGAATTTACACTAATTTAGGAGAAAATGTGTTATTGCTTATGCGAACGCTCAAGTGGCTACTATTCATATACGTGCCAATACTTAGGCACGCACTGGTCACCAGTCTGTGCAGTTGTATGTATTGAACGAGTTGCTCTGTGCAAAGTTTACAATACATACAACTGTACAGGCTTGGTGACCAGTGCGTGTCTATGTATTGGCACGTATATGAATAGTAGCCACTTGAGCGTTCGCATAAGCAATAACACATTTTCCCCTAAAATTAGTGTAAATTCATCCAAAAACAGTTGAAACCGCCATTTCGCACTGTATCTAGATTACTCATTCCCCTCCGAAAACTTACAGTGTAGACTAGACTCTTATCGATGTTCTTCCAGACTGACATCTACAAAAAGAAAAATATATATTTAGAAAAAATCCGTAATATGTTAAATTAAACTGGAAATAAATTGAAATTTAATTCGAATTCTTTTCGTTATTTTGCAAAATCCCCTCGTTTTGATTGCAAAGAATGATTCCCTTCCACATTGGCAGCTATCGATGACTCTTCTTGATTCCGGTTCACTATGCGATATCCTGAATTTTTGACATTTTCGTTATTTTCATTTTCAACCGACTTTCCTTCCGAATTCACTTCATTTCTATTCGGAGAATCGATGTGTTTGGTGATACTCGTTTTTACTTGTCGATTGAGATTCCAAGCACCCGTCGGGCTTTGATTGACCTTGATTGGTGCTTGCATCGAAAGCGTTAAGAGTTAGAAATCTTATTACGTTTCTTATGCTTCGTTTGTGACCCACTTGAACTGCTAGAGCAACTGGATTTAAATTCATTTAAATTTCTCGATTCTTTTGATTCAATATTTCTGCAAGAGATCTCACTTCGTCGTTTAATTTTTTAAGACTTTTTATCATTTCAAACGGGTTAACAATTTTAGCTCCAATATTATCCATGTTATTTTCACTTGGTCTAGATTTCAAAGAGCTTGAAACAACATTGTGTTCACCTTTTATATTTTGGAAATCGTCGCTGCTTGAAAATAGTCCAGAGGATATTCTATGGGATCTCTATAACAAACACATTTCACTGAGTTTTCATCGACAAAACTATTCACTTCAAGATGATTTGGGGCTGTGAGAATGAAAATGGCAATACAGGAATAAACATTCTGAAACGCATCAAGAAAAAAAATTCGCAAAAATTAATCATGAGTTCTGAATATGCAAAAATTTGTAGAAAAATTCAGGCGCAGAGAAGCGTTTGATCAGCTTTGTGAGAATATATGAAAAATTTCGCCGAAAATTTAGGGCGCTTGAGCGCTCAGTATTATGGAAAGAATGGAACGCTTAGAGCGCTTTAGTTTCGCAATTTATAAACCGGACATGTATAAAAATAAATAGAACAACGCTCGCGAAAAAGTAAATTTTGTTCATGATGACTTTTTTCGAGTGAGAATCTTCTCATTTGACTATTAGAATATTCAGCGTGAGATGTATTCAAAAGGGCGGCAAAATCGAAGAACATGATGTCCAATGTTCAAGTTACTGGATTATATTCAAGTGCCGCTTGTATTTCAAGCGCCTTTTTCCAATATCAAAATATAAAGATTTCAGTGCATATTCAATCGACTACAAAATATATTCAATTATTTTGAGCACCCTTTTTCATGTAACTCTCAGTAAGCATGTGCATTCAAGGGCTATATTTTTGAAATGACAAAAAATTGAGCTCGCGCGCCTTTGGCGCGCTCGCAGTAATGTATGATATTTTCAATGTATCTAAAACGCAAATTTTCAGTATCACATAAGGCAGATATCTTGCTAATTTCGTTGGATTTTTTTCTTTCGTGCGTTTCATATATATACGAAACAGTGTATTGTAAACCATATTATGAAGTTCATACTATGAACAATAACCAAAATAGCGTACAGAACTTTTCTAACAAGAAAGTTACTCATTTCGAGACAAATTTTATTTTAATTATTTTCGTTCTTCCTAAGAAAAGGGCGCCCTGTCAATTTTGCACCAGGGCGCAAAGAGCGCACGGACAGGCTCTGTTGACATCGGATGGCAGCAAGACCGAAAACAACTTAAATGACAACTGTAGCGACGCGAGCGCCCTCAATTTCAATAGGCAAATCAATGTAATTTCGGAATTTTTTTCCGAACTAAACAGCGCAACAATTTGAATTTTCATGATGCTGCCACCCTATGTCTGTTGATTGTCGTCTCTCAAATCCCTCAAAATTATATTCACTTTGAGCCATTCTTGTTTACGAAAAAATCATTAAAACTTCACTACAAACAATATTTGGAAAAGATTTTTTTTAACCACTTTAAAGACATTTTCGTCGGGTATTGAATTCATCCGAAATTTGAATATTCAATTGGAAGTAAAAAGATAGCTACACAAGAACGGTCAATATACGTCTGAGTTTTATAACGCAGAAAAAGATACATACCTACTGTACGCAATCAATGCTACGAATGTGTTGTGTATAAATTGAATGGCAACTGGCGGGAATAATGTTGAAAAATACACTGACAGAATTGATACAATATATAGCATATAAATGATCGTAGAGCGTCTCTATGTACTTTGTACATGCGTATTTGTGTTTGCGTTTGTATTGGTTTGATGGTTACGTTGCGTGTTGAATAAAAACTACACACTGAGGTGTGTGTGTGTGTGTGTTCTTTAACAAATAATCGAAATGACCTAACCAAACAAGGACTACCGCAAGACTAATTAGATGGAAAAAATATTTTTACTTTCGAATGCAGTCCGTAAGAGATATAAACCGGTTCGAATAATAGTGACCCACCAATTTGTCATAAAATAAAACCATAACATAAAGTTGGTTTAAAATAGTAGAGAAACATAGAAGGCGTTTAAAATAAAAATGCAACATGTTCAAAGTGAACACTCTGTGCATGATTCATTTTTATTTTAAACGCCTTCTATGTTTCTTTATTTTTTTACCATTCAACGTGTTTCTCCTTTATTTTAAAAACTGATAAGGAATACGAATTTCGATGTGGCGTGATCACAAAAAGCATCTGAATAAACGATATTTGTAAAGCAAAAACGAGTCGCTTGAAAAAAAAGATGCAATGTCTACTAAAACATACATGCCTTGAATACTTTATGTATCTTTCCCATCCGAATATACGTGATCACGTATACATCGATGTAGTCAGCACATACTTAAACATATATTAAATGCGCTAGTCTTCGCCATACGCATTTCGATCAATTTCAAGCAATAAAGCAGAACAATTGCTTACTTTTGACGGTTTCTATAAGCGAGAGCAGGACGCATGATTTTATTTCCACTTTTATTTTTGATCATACACACATGCAATCGAGTGCCGTTGTTCCAAGTGTAAACAATGCGTTTCAATATTTGGAAAATCTAAAATAAATTTAAATGAATGTATCAACTAAACTGATCTGTGTTTGAAGCTAAATTAATAAGTGACTATTGTCACCATGCTGGAAAAATGATCAAAATAGAATTGAATGGCTTTAATCATGAACACAGCAGCAGTGAAACGTTCACAAACTGCGAAGCGCAGTCAATGTGTAAAACTCATCGATGTAGAAACGTATACGAGTAATATGTTGCGTAACGAAACAATGGAAATGTTATGCTTAGATAAACAGTGATAATTTGTCCCTTTTTTATTCGCTTTCATTTTCTTTATTAGTCTGATATCAAAACTACAACTTCTAGCTGTGAATACAAAAACAAAACACAGTCAATAAATTTTACATTTATGTTAAATGCACATTGCATAAATGTATTGAAATAATCAGTTATACCATGATACTCTTCATTTTCAGCGGAGTGAATGCGTTAAACTCAATTGATTATGGAAGAATATTCTTGTATGAACACCAATTAATATTTATCATAATTTTTAGTCAATATTTACATCGATCGTTTGTTGATTTTTCTCATTGATGGCAGTAGAGTGATTTCGTGATATTGAGTGTCTGCGACATCGTCATGCTCAACTCGCAAGTGCTTCCGAACGGTTGCTTCATCGACTTGGACAAAGTTACAAATTTCACAAATGAAGGCAACAAAATCGCTACTATACAGATCATCGTCGAATATTTTGGATGCTGCTCGTTTGCAACAATCACGGCCGATTGAATACATGACATCACACACATCACATTTGAATCCATATTCTCCTGTGTGACTTCGGTAATGATCAAACCAATAACTTGGCGCAAATTCTTTTTTCTCTTCACAAAAAAAGCATATTGCTTTGATTCTTCCGGATAATTTGGGGGATTTTTTAGCGCCATGTAGTCCATTTTCGGCTTTGTCAACCATTTTCTTGGAAATCCGTGACACGTACACTTCACTATTCTCATGAAATCTTTTGTAATGGGACACAATACGGGCGACGGACTTCTTGCAAATTTGGCATGTGCTTGCATTTCTGCTGGCAAAATAAAGGCTCTTGTTCGTGTTGGGCGGACGAAATATATCTAAATATTGAAAATATAAAATGAAACGTTCATCACTCAACTGCAATTGATAAAATAATCGGAGAATTACCTTGTGTCGCACCACCATTAGCAGCAATGGAATTCCTTCGCTTGAATGAGACTGTTGCTTGTGGCCGAAGAATTGGTTTGCGTGGACGTTTGGAAAATGAAGATGAATTTTCCGACAATGTCCCATCAGAATCGTCAGTTTCGACAATCTTTCGTTCGCTACATGATTGTCTGATTGAATTTCGCCTCTTTGCTTGCAATCCATTTTGGTGCGACGTTGATGGCTCATTTTGCTGCGATTGCAATTCATTTTTTTTGCGTGAATACACAATTCGATGTTGAGGAGTCTCTTTCACCGGCAAAGTATTGTTTTGATTTCGAATCGGAGCACTAATCTGCGGAACAGTCACCTGGTTCTGGTTGGGTTTCGTGATATTTTCCTCATATTTACAACAATGATAACAGTGTCGATGATATTTCCTGTAATCGCGTTCGGAACTACACTCGGAGCTCGAATCGTATCGTTTGCGGTGCGAACGTGACGACTTGTGACGATGACGCCGTCTCTTTCGTCTTCGTTCGACACTTGAACTACTCGAACTGCTGGAATCACCGGATGTGCTGTCGCTTGAATAATGCTTTCGACTTCTTTTCTTGTGTTTCTTCTTCGAATTTCGTGCATTTTCAAAGTTTTCGAAATTATTCTTCAATGATTTTACCGTTTCGGCAAGAGCAGACACGGTTTTAAGCAATGCATCGTAGGGTAAATTTGAATTTGGTTGATGATCACTTGGTTGTCGATCATTTGGCTGTCGATCGCTTGGTTGACAATCTTGAAATATTGAACGTTGTTCTAGAGCATTGCGACCTGGCACTCCAGTATTGATGGGATTGACGCTTTGAATTACAGGTTGAATGTTAGATATGCATGATGAAACTCCTTGTTTTATGCTACTATTGCATTCTTCCTGTTCCAAATCATCTTCCTCACTGCTCACGACTACAAACAAGAAAGAAAACAAGAACTAAAAACACGCTCGATTTCATCGGTATTTGATTTTTTTTCTTTACCTGCTATAAGTTCGTTTAAATTGAATTTTCGATCCTCTTCTTCTCTTTGTGGTTGTGGTGAGATAGAGACGGAGTTGCGTCGCATAATTCCATTAATGTAGTATCGATCCTTTAGAGCCATATCAACTAATACACGCATTCCTCAATTACCAACTATTGCGTTTTCAAAAACCAGACCCGGTTTTGCTAGGTATAAGTTTGAAGTTTTTTCGTTTTAAATTTAAGCACGAACGCTCTTTTTTCACGATTGTAAATACGCACTCAGTAGAAACACAACAATCGTTAAATTTATTAAAACATTAGTTAGTTGATGTGAAAATACAACAAATTATTCACTCGTATTGATTCGGTCTAGTGATATTATAAATAAGGTGTAACTTATAAACATAACAGAGAAAAATCTAACGTTCACACTCGCTGACGGTCAAATGTATTCTGAATAGCCGCTTCAATACATAGCCGCAAAGTGTTCATACCGACAAACTAACACAGTTAAAAAGAGCCGGCAACACAACCACATAGTCGTTTAATGTCAATGTAGTTGTGAGCTCAGTTGTCTACGGCAGCTAACCAAACACGCAGACGTACAAAACATAGCTACTTTTTTCAATTCTTTCGTCTCTCTTCACACTGAGTTTCTTCCAGTGGTGTAGTCACCTTTCGACATCGGCCTTGACTCGAAGATTAATACTGGAATTCACTAATTTCAATCAACTGTTTGAAATCACATGTGGCATACATGGAAAACGATTTCTGGCATTGCTGCAAACAATCCGTTGGTAGAATCAATCTTCCTTGAAATATATTTCTCCAATTTCATTATCAGAAGATATTTTTTTTGAATGGTTACTATTTTAAGAAGTATGCCAACACTGACTCCAGTTCTCATTCCAGTCACTGTTCTACAGTGGGGTTCTACCCATATAAAAACCATTTTTATTGGGTGTATAACTTTGCTTCCGCCGTTTTTTTTTCAATTTTCGAGGCTTTATTGTGAAAAATTTGTACAATTTAATTTATTCAAAGTACTGTCCATCGGAAGCTATGACTTTTCCCCACAATCCCGGCAATTTATGGATTCCGTCCCAAAAAAATTTCTCGTCCTTTGAGGCCAGGAACGAATCAAGCCAATTTTTGATTCCTTCGACTGAAGTGAAGCGTATTCCGGTAGGGGCGTTCTGCATCGATCGAAATAAGTGGTAGTCGGAAGGAGCAAGGTCTGGGCTATAAGGCGGGTGAGGCAAAATTTCCCATCCGCTATTTTCCAAGTAGGTTTTGACCGACGCTTCAATATGTGGCCGAGCATTGTCATGGTCTCCCATTCTGGCCGTTTTTCCTTCAACGCTCGCTTCAAACGTATCAATTGTGTTCGGTAGGTCCTTTGATTGTTTAACCACTTGGAAGCAACTCCCAGTACACCACTCCCTTCTGGTCCCACCAAATAGAGAGCATTACCTTCGAAACGTGAATATTTCGCTTTGGCGTCGATTTGGCTGGTTGGCCGCGCTTGACATGCAAAAACGACTTTTTTTTGTGCCGTTCCAGCAACATTTCAGACATGCAAAATCGTCTTTCGACGTGTCTTGGATCCAATTCGTGTGGCACCCAATTTCCTTGCTTTTGGATGAATCCCAATGCTTTCAATCGTTTCGAAATGGCTGGTTGCGTGACTCCCAATGATTCCGCGAGCTCTTCTTGCGTTTGACATGGATCTTCATCCAGCAATGCCTCCAAATCGGCGTCCTCGAAAAATTTCTCTCTTCCACCACCATACCAGTCTTCGACGTCAAAATCGCCACTTTTGAAGCGGTGAAACCACTCACGACACGTTCTTTCACCAAAAGAGGCTTCACCATAAATATCCGACAGCAATCGATGGGCCTCAGCTGCAGATTTCTTCGAAGCAAAGAAGAAAAGAAAAACTTCCCGCAAATGACGCGAATTTGGTTCAATTGAAAACAAAAAATATAACGGAATATGACTGAAATATAGAAATATATGAAAATATGGCCGTATTTCAGGCGTCGCAAGCCCTTCGGCTATATTGCTTGTGTTTGGTTTTGCTTATTTAGAAAATGATTTAACATGTATTCTTCTTTGAACACACGAATTTCTTCTCTTTTGATTGAAAACATGGTTGATTTTGAAATGCATCCATCAGAATAAGTTAAAATGGCCTTTTCACCATTTAAAATCATAGCTTAGAAGATATTCTTCATGGAAACGTGGAAACGTTCTGGTGGATTTTAATCCACTTGATTAGACATAGTAAATGAGTGTTTTATTTGAGAAATCATCGAAAAAACCACAATCAAATTAGGTTTAATTCTGGTTCAAAACCAATTTGAAGCAGACAAACAGAAACCTTTTTGGTTTGATAGTTGATACTTTCAGATTTCAAATCTGAAATTCAAACAAAACCAGGTTATTTTCCCTTGATTTCAATATTCCAAACATGATCCAAGCCGATCGATTAGAATTTAATTTTGATGTTTTTTTGAAAAATTGAAAATAATCAAATCTCAGTGTCTTTTCATTTTCAATGAAATTGAACCAATCGGAGCAAAATGAATTCCATAAAAATGTTTATTTCAATCCCGCCTAATCGGCATGCGAATGAAATGCATTTCATCCAAGAATTTGGCCAACACGTCTAATTTTATTCAAGTTCGCATAGTGAAGCTAGTGTCACACGAAAATAAAATCGATTTTTCGAATTCAAATCGAAAACCGGTGTAAAAGTTGAAAGAAATCCCAATTTTCTGCATCAGAAGAGCGGATTAAAGATTTAATTTGGCATCAAATGAAAAAAGTGGGTGTTGAATCATCGGCTGATACTTTGTTGCTAATAGTGCCGATCGCCAGAACGTATGCTTATTTATAATATTTTGATTAATTTTTTGTCGTTTGTTCGTTACATATTTGTCGTGTTGGGAATTTGGATCGTTCGCATAGATCAACGTCAACAGCAAACATCTATAAGTGAGAGTGAGTGGCGATGCATTTTATGCAAAAATTCAGAAAAACTATTTCGGCAATGTGTGAAAAAAGGAAACCGAAAAAAAGTTGCGGTTGCAAGTATACCGCCCATTTTGATACGTAGCCCATTCACGTCGTATGAAAAAGCTGGCAAGTGCTATCTGTCTGCTTTCCTGGTTCTAGAATGCGCAATCGTTAGCGCGACACATGTGCGCGTTTCGTGTAATTTGTCTTTTCTATCGAAGCGAATCGGTTTGTGCGAACGTATAAATACGAATGCATATTTTTGTTTGCACTTCTCATGTTTGAATCGAGTACGCGGTCCACGTCTTTCGATGCTGTGGATATTGGGAGCCGTGCTCTCCGAAACATAAAATCAAGTCGTTTAGTGTTTAAGTGATTCACGTTTTTTTAAAGCAGGAAAACCAATAAATAATATCGTTGCAACATTAAAAAAGAATTGCGTTCCTGTGGTTGTTGTTCTTTTTCAGCACAAAAAATTGATTTACCTGCGATTATTTCTCATTCGTTGTGTTCGCTATTGAATGTGATACATTGTTTGGAGAGGTAGAAAAAAAACAAAGCGACAGATAAAATAAAATTGAGTGATTATTTTAAACGAAGTGAATTCGTACCGTGAGTGTTACAGAAAATAAAGAAGACAAACCGATTTCCACAGAAAATATGGAACGATTGGCTGGTCGTGTTGCAGGTCGGTTCGCAAGGCGAAGTGCTCAACGGAATAACCTCTATTCATTTCAATAATAACTTCTTTTTCAATTTGCCACAGTGGTCACAGGAGCAGCAAGTGGCATTGGTGCAGCGATTTGTACAATATTGGTGAAGCATGGAATGATTGTGTGCGGTTTGGCTCGTCGCAAAGACAAAGTCGAAGCGTTACGTTTGAGTCTGTTTGGTGCCGAAGGTCAATTGAATGCCGTTGAATGTGATATAACCAAAGACGAGGATGTGAAACGGGCATATCAATGGATTGAGAAAACATTGGGTGGTATCGATTTGCTCATAAACAATGCTGGTGTTGTTAGGTAATAATCATAAAGCGCCTAATTTAAAGGCGAAAAATAAGCGAATGAAAAATGTGCACATTTTCAGAGGAAAATGAGATTTTGGTTGAAATGGGCCAATTGAATAAGTCGAATTTATGTCATTTTCTTTTGTTTTGTTGTTGAAAGTTCATGCATGCTATTGGATGACAATAATACACGTGAATTGCGATCAATGCTGGAGGCAAACCTAATCGGACTGTGTATTTGCACTCGGGATGCGATCAAACTAATGAGACAACGCGGTTTTGATGGTCACATCGTTAATATAAACAGGTAATTTTTCATAACTAATCGAAGATCGAGCGGCTAATTTGATGTTTGATTGCAGTATTTTTGGTCACAAAGTTAGTCAAGCGGTTCCGGGCACAAAACCCATTAATGGAATGTATCCAACGTGTAAATTCGCATTAACCGCACTCACCGAGTGTTTGCGCCAAGAAGTTGCTTACGTCGAAATGGGCATCAAAGTATCGGTATGAATTTTCCATTTAATTTTCAATCATTTTTAATTTACTTGATTTTCAACTTAAATTTATTCCATCAACGTTGTTCATACTGCTAATTATCGTAAAATTACCATTTATTTACTCATAAAAACTATCATTGATTTTGTCTTTTGGGCATATGAAGAATATATCGCCTGGACTTGTTGAAAACGACATACTCACAACAAGCGGATCTGATGAAAATGAATTAGTAAAATATATGCCACGCCTGAAGCCCGATGATGTTGCTCAAGCCGTTGTATTTGCTATCACCATGCCCCAAAATGTTCTAGTAAGTTGAGTTTGGTTCTTTGCAAATGGATTTTTTTTCTGTTTTTAACAAATGCTCATATATAAGAGTGGATCAAGTGGGAAGAAAGCAAACAAGCTTTGAGCAAGTGGAAATTTTAGAGGCTTTAATTTTGAGCTTGAAAAATATCAAATTGAAAAAGAATCTTTTATTGAAATGAATAGAGGTCATTCCGTTGAGCTCTTCGCGTTGCGAACCGACCTGATCTTATCTGTGCAAATGAATTTTGTTTGAAACGGATAATTAAATACAGATATTGATAGAGGAAACGAAGAGAAAAAGAACAGCCACGCTAACACAGAAATATGTGAAAAACAATTATTATGTGCATGGAACAAATTAGTTGCTTTTCGTCTCCGGGTATTTAGTGCAATTACCGTGCATTTCAATACTTATAATTAAATCTTTAGCATCGACAGCATTCGCGGTTCACGCAGTCGTTTGCTTTCATTATTTTCCTTGCACACAAGCAATGGCCTCTTAGTTATTTTTATAATCTATTTTTATTATTTAATTTCTGCTTTGCTGACTGCACACTTCTCATTCTTTTCTTTCATTCCGTCTTTCTTCTTTGCTTTGTCGACTTTTTCTAACAAGATCACATCTTCTTCTTTCAATTGCAGATCCAAGATATTATTATGAAACCGATGGGAGAATTTCTCTAAACAAAAATCGACACACTTTTTAAAAAGCAGCCGAAAAATGAATTGACTCGTATTTGAAATAAGGGCGGTTCTATGTATTTAAAAAAATTTTACACAATCGTTTATGTTTAGTGAGTAAAATTAAAATTGATTCGTGTTTAGTTAGAATGTGTATGAAATAATATATCCGAACGACACACGGTTTTCAAATAAATATCCCGAAGAAAAAAAACGACCCAAACGAATATTTATTTTCATTTGTCAACTTTTGGAATTATTCTTAAAAACAACAGAGAAAATAGTTTGGTTCACATCGTGTCACCGAAATTTGGATACGTGGACAGTTTGAGATGCGTTCGCAACGGCATCGCGATTTATAATTATTGCGCTTAATTGCTTTGTGACGTTTCGTTGATTGAACTGGGCTATGAACTGGTGACCGATTCGCTGATTCCGGAATTACACTGTTGAATTTGTGCTGATATTTGTTGGTGAGTTGAAATGCTGGCCGTTGCTGTGGCCGCTTTGTTCGGTAGAATAATTTTTCTGTACACAGGTAAGGATGAAGAGAAAAACACTGAGAAAATGCTGCAATTGGAATCTGTTCCAAACATTTTTACCTGACTTCGACGGAATTTTCGTAATTACATTGCTTGCACTGTGAACAGAGCCAATCGGTGGTTTAACTTTTGGCTTTTGTCGTCGAATCATGAGAATGTTATCCGTTTCGGGAATTAGATCACTCGGCTGGACATCGTCAATAAGGTGAACTCGAATGATGTTTTTCGGGCGAATTAAAAACTTTTTCAGGCCTTCATCGATACTGAATCCTCGACCTTGAGCATTCGATTGATACGTTGAAACACTATTTCCATTTGGTTTTGAATCCTCCACATTCAATAGACCAACGATGCGAAATTGTGCCATCGATCCGATTGGAATGAGATACACAATTAACAGAATAGATTTCAAAACACCCATTTTCTGGCAATAATTTTTATTCCGTTGATAAAACCAAATCAAACTAATACCGGCCACATTGAATACAAAATACACAACGGAGTCTGGAGAATGAAGACGATTTGGAATGAAGACGTCTGATTGATGCAAAGGGTATGACGGTAATGATGTTCTAGCTGGAAATGTTCAGAAAGAACCAGTTTCATGTGTATTATTTGTGGCTGCGAAAGCAGAAGGAAAAAATATGCCAACAATTCTTAATACACTCATCACGGCTGCCGGCCGCTAAGAGAGAATCGCGCTATGCCACACCGTCGGCAATTGTCGGAAGAAGACCTGTTTCAGCGGCGCAAAATCTTACTACGATTCATGTGCCAGTTTTTTTCTTCTTTCTTTCTTCACTCGCTCGTTGTTTTGACATCTCGTGTAACTAAAATGGATAATTGTGTGTTGTGTGTATGTGCTTTGAATTGTGAAAAGTGGCTGTGACCGAACAATTGAGATGTGTTATCGCTGGCGTGCGCTCACATGCAGATGCCATATCCCAAAGGCAACTCCTCTAGACGTGGACTATGAACAACAACAGCAGCAAGAAAATAATATTGATACCATTCGAACAAGGTAAAATATGCCGAGTATTTTAAACAATTAACGAGAACTAGGCGATTGCGTCGGGAATATTTCAATGAAACACAACATCAATAAAAAAAAATACCACCGCATCGAATGAAAACGGCAATTTAATTACTTTGTGGCAAATTTGATCGCATGTTTACTGAATCCTAGATAAATCCGCCGAGTTTATCACGTCTAAGCGAAGAAAACGAACATGGTTTGTTTTTATTGGCCAACACCCTTGAATCCAGTAATTCTAGATGTATTTTTAGCACTACTTTTATTTTCTGGAATAAAACAAGAGAGAGAGAGATTTTATCTTCGCATTTTTATCCACGTTTTCCTTTATTTTAATGGTGATTCTCAAATATAATTATATGGTGGCGATTGGGTATGGGTATACCCAATCGCTAATAGGCAAAATTCATTATGCTCATAAAAGTCGCTCTCAATCATAATTATCGGGCACAAAAATAGAACTCGAGTGCACGACTCGCAGATCATAATGATTCCAAATGGAAACAGGTTCGTATTGATTTGGAATTGGCATTGGCATTGGATGGATTTTTGAAATTCAAGAAGAATCCGCTTGGAATGACCGCTTGGCTTGAATTGAATCAACCGCCCCAGCTATAATTTTGCAATTGTTTATAATCCCATGTTTTCTTCGGCGTGTATGTCAATTTGATGTATCGCTGACCATTAAAATTGAGAAGAGCTCAATTCACGATTAACACGAAAACCCCACGGACTCAACGTATATACAACTGCAATGGAAACAACATGCAAAGATTGGACGATGGACGTGCATATTGGAAATTCCTTGAGTGAAAAAAAAATCGATCAAATATCAAAATAGTTCACATTGAGCTTTGGAAAAAATTGGTTTCTCCACATTGATGTTAAATTGATTTTCGATTTTTGCCTTCCTTTTTCACAGGAAAAAAAGAACTCTTTTTTTTACTCAAGGAATTTATATTTTTGATTGAAAAAAAGTAAACAACTGAAAATGAGTAGAAAAAAAAGTCGACAAAATCTTTTCCGGCTTTGTTTATGTCTCTGACGAAGACAAAAATTTATTTTGTTGCAATTAAACCTCTTGAAAACTGACTTGGTGGTGATACAATTTTAACGAACTATTGAAATGATGCCAAATGACCATTGCATCGTTTTTTTTCTCGTGATTTCGCTCGATTGACGTAGCGCATAGAGAATTAATTAAGACACGTACAAAAAATTGGTTAGAATGACCAAACAAGTTGCCAATAGTGAGGCGACCTAGGGAGGAAAAAGAGAGGAGAACGCATCACATTGATTTTCACAAATAATAATGTATTTTGCATTCAATGCCAGAATAAAGAAGGAAAAAAGAGAGAAATCTTACGACAGTCACAATGGCGTAATCAAGTTTGTTGAAGCCAAATATGGTAAAATAGATCTTCTGATGCAATTGCTGTAACGCAAACAGCTGTAACTGTAATGAAAATAAAAACGAGTTTCTTTTTCACTTGCTTTAATCTTAATGGTGATATTGACCTGACGCAAAATTACTTACACAATTCTGCAAATCGTCGGAAACGGTACCATTTGCGCAGAGTCGATGAACTTTTTTCACCAGCATATCAGCTTCTTCAGCCGCACAATGGGTAATTCGAATGAGCATTCCCACGCGAACCACATAATAAAACAGAAACTAGACGTAACTGTTGAATGATAGGAAGGAAAAACGGTTTGGCGGTCCCAGAATATGGTCTAAGATATGAAAAAGAACCGCACACACCGACAATATCTCGACGGAAAAATTCAACGAAATTGACCATTTGAATGTGTAATTGGTAAGTTGTATGATTTCGTACATTTTATTGAAAATTCGCCACAAATTGATCATACGTTTCAATTCAATCGCTTGATTATCCGCAAATTTTAGTAAATTTTCGCATTTCTTTGGCGGTATTTGGTCCATCCACAATGCACTATTGATTAGAACGGTGTGCATTGCTTCGATTCGATACTTGATTAACAGAGCAAATGTTAGGTATTTCGATCCATTTAAGGTGAGTTTTAATAGCGGATACACAAAAAGCATTAGAGACGTCGCTATTGTTTGCCTCTTCGTAAAGGGTCATTGCAATGAGAAATATTTCGGTGATGATATAAATTAAACCCCATTTTATGAAGATATTCCGAATCAAACGATTCAACTGGCCGTAATCGACATCACATTCAAATGTCGAGTGAAAATACTGTCGATTTCAAATAAATTATTCAGCACGTTTACTTGCTCATTTAGTTTGAGGGAATGCTTCGACCGTGATTACGACGGACAATACACGGAATATTGTCAGAATTAACAGGTCTAAACCGATGTATAAAGTGACTTTAACGTGCGATACATACTTACTGATAAACAGACGATAATGCTGTCGACGACTACATAAAACTCAAATGCAAGCAGAACAATTATCCACAAATATTCTGCAATCAATAGGATACTTTGCCAGTTTTTCCGTTGGATGTTCGTTTGCGAAGGGGAAAATCGATAGGGAACCATTCCTAGAACGCGATATGTCATGAAAACTCCACGGTATGTTTCTTCGATATGCATTTCGGCACGATTTTCACACAGAATTTGACTTGAACTGATGGTTTTAATTGGATTTGAACTGAATGCGATAAGCCTTGGTTCCTTTTACTTATAACTGCTCAAGTCTCTGATAATGGTGATGAAGGTGTGAGCTACCTGTTCCCATTTTGATTGCTGATCATATTGGTATAAACAAATATTTTTGATGTGTCATCAATAAGAAATGATGATTAAACGAACTGCCAAGGGATTAATAACAGTGTTTCAATAATAAGTATGTGTACGGTACATTCAAATGCCTTTGATTAAACATGCAAAATTACACTCGTGTCAAAATATCAACAAATGCATGAAGTGTTCGAGCAACAAATTATTCGTCGCCAACGAGTTGACATGTTACAAATAATGACGCTGAAAATTGTATGAGAATAATTAGATATGTCGTTGTGGTGCCCATAATCTAAGGCATTTTGCCCATGTCGCCATCGATTGGTTTGTGCAAACCATCCCTATGTAAACCCATACACAATTTCTTATAATACTGCTTCTTCTTTTTCACACCGTCGTACACAATGGGCGCGCCCATATTGAAAATGTATACAGTGTATTGAGTACCCATTTGAGAACATTATAACCAATATGGTGACTCACATGTATAGATGTGTTAGTTAAGAAGAAGAAGCAGTCTCACTGCACCGTTCGCATACGGACGGTGCAAACGTGATGATGTGGGAAACAAATGAGAAAAAAAGGGAAATTCAGACGATTCGGAAAAAAAAACACCTTAGTTTGATCAGATTCTACCATAAAAACCAGCGTATAGTCCACTTCAAAGCATCCAAATGCATTGAAATGAACTTTTTGGTGAAGCATTTGTAGCGAAAAATGTTGAATCTGAAATGTATGCATATATATTACTTTAGCTATTTTACTATGACGGCATTTGCATTAATTTACGAAAATGTGCAAATCATTATTATTATTCGGCTACAGTACGTACAAATGAGCTTAATTTAGAGTTGAGTGTCACATGTTCTATGCAGTGTGTGACGTGGGCTATTTGCGATGCCTGTTCGGCGGTATTGTGACAAGTTTTGCACACCATACAAATGTGAAGAACGTTCATTAGACTCCACAGAAAGCAGCCGATCAGCACTGAAATATTTAGCGAAATGTCGGTTCTCAGCATTCACATGAACATCCAATAGAAATTCGACAACAGCGATACAAAATCGTTTCCGATGTTAAAACCCATTGAACAGCGAAAACGTTCGTTAATCACTTCCGTTTGGTTCCACAGAATGATGATAGAGACTCCGGGTGTTGACGAAGCGATCAAAAAGGTCCGTAACAGCGAATTAAAGTTTCCCTGAGATATCACTGATAAACATGTTGTTGACTCCTTTTATCGGTTTCAAATTAATGTCATCGAAATGCGGATCGCAGTCCATATCTTTTATCAATTGATTTACCACATGAAAACGATAGTGTATCAAGTTGACCCATGTGACGATTTGAAAGTATGAAATTGACGACGTGAGAAACGGTGGCAAATAGGTTAAACAAAAATAGCTTCCATGCGCTAAATATAGAATGAGCCCTTCACCAAACACAAAAATACACATCCAAATGGCTGATAGCACGTATGACTTTCGGCGTAACTCGTCTTATTTGATGTCAATACTGAAATGAGTCCGCAACATTTCGTCGATTTCCATGAGGTTTTCCATGAATTTTTTTCTCTTTTTCATGCTTTGCAAATGCTTCCGCCGAAATTGCAATCTCCACTAAACGAATCCCATATATGAGCACCGTATCGATGGCCGTAATGATTTTGTACTCATTGTGACGAACAAAAATATGATTCGATATCAATACATGTAGAAATATGACCGCTCGAATAACAATGTATAAGAGTGAGTAGATTTTAAAACAATTTCCGATTGATATTTTTCGGAGGTTCGGTGACACTGACACCGCACTCAAACCAAACAATTGAAAAACACGAATTATCGGCTGAATCGCTTTGATTGCACTCATTGTTGTGTATTCGTCGGTAAATACGATGGGTATCACTGAATTTTGGTCGAAAAATTTTCTGCGTTTTTATTATAATTTCAGGACGATGATTAAACACTTGTGCCGACGAACTGATTACCATTGTGCCGATTCAGAATGATGAAATGAAACTCGTAATAATCACGTGAATATGTTGATTAGATGATTTTATGCTCCAAAATGTAATAAAAATGTCTTAATTGATGGTGTGCCGAAGTGTGAATGAATTATTTGGTTTAAATCGATTCGATGTGATCGATATTTCGGCTCAACCGTAGTTAAACTGTAGTAGTATGACTAAGTATGTGGTAACTGTACCTGAAACCTGCTACAAAAGTACCATTTTAATCACGGTCGCATTAAAATTTCACGACGTTATTCAGCTCACCGCATAAATGAATGTCATATCGATTGGAAAAAAGCCGCAAGCGGAAAATTGTGGCTTTTGGTGTAGAAATTGTAGGGAAATTAGTTCAAGCTGTTAATGAAACGAATGAAAATAAAAATGAAAATCACACAGTCAAAAACCTAATAAAAATTTAAATGGATGGCTATAAAACTGAATTTCATGAATGGCATTTGTGTTCACTTCGAAAATTCATTGAATAAACTCACGTCAATTTTGCCGATTTCAATTTTGTCACCGGCAATCGTTTCATTCATGACCGTGGCGATTTCGGTGGCCTTTTAGAAATGCGAAAAAGAAAATTGATTCATTTTAATGGAATCGAAATCGGTTTTAACTACCTACGCATATGAAATGTGGAAAAATATAGATTACCTGACACACTGCTAAGTGGCAGATGATAGATGCATAGGCTAGTGGAGCTGTCAGCAAAATTATCCATATAATTGAAGCTTTGTGTTCGAAATTGAGTGCATATTATAAGTCATTTAATTTAATTAGACTGTGACAAATGTACCTAGGACATCGAATTGGATGTCGTTCATGTTGTTGGTATTTTCAGTGAGTAGTTTGAAGAGCAAAAATAGATGGCACGTCAATGAAATGCTAAATAGAGCTACCGACAAAAAATTGTACCGACAAAAAATTGAAACGAAAATAACATCAATTGAAACATTCTGTTCAAGGGAGGGAGAGAGAGAAATAAGATGATTAAAATGCAGCGAAACTCACCCATCGACGCAAGATTCGAAAAGCCAAAAATATCATTTAATTTATTCACGATGGCAAATAGGAGTTCGTAGATTTGTGCGATTTTCTTAAATTCACGATGTAGTCCATGTGGTGTTTCACGAGTCAATTTCACTTTCCACACCTCGTCCGAATCATTTGCAACCAACGAATCAATCGCGCACACATCCATTAAAAAGTGTTTCAATATTTGAAAAAGGTTACGTATGAACCAGGCCAAATTGGAAAATACCATCAAATTTAAAATTATAACAAGCATTGGATTGATGGACGTGAACAGTTCCAGTAAAATGAATCCGATGTGTCGCACTTCATAATAAATGACAAAAATTATAAACGATGCGTAAATGAAACCGGTTATGAAAATCACTTCGAATAGAATTTTCGTCACGAAATATTTATTTGAAAAGTTCAGATTCAACACCAGAAACTCATGCTCAGTGGACGAAATCGATTTCAATAACTCTTTGAATTGATCTTTGTAGAACAGCACTTGATAGTAAACGGTTATGACAACGATTATTGCGAGAATTTGCTGAATTCCCATCACAGAATGAGCGACCGCATCCGGTTGACAAAATTGCGGCGGAACACTGGACAGGCGATAGAAGAAACTACCGGTGAACACGATAAGAAATGTTAAAGTATAAATTGGATTTAATACTTTGAAGACGACCAATTGTTTAACACTGAAGTATGAAATGCCAAAAGCACACGAAACAATGTGTATTGGTCGCAAACAATGATAAATTGAATCGCTTCGCAGTGATTTTTCTGACTTAATTTTTGGATGAGTCATTTTTTTTTTGAAGAGCCACTCATCACAGAATATTATGGCCGAATTCTTGGACAAGTCACTGAAACTGAAAACTGAACTTTGATTCAGTGTCGACTCGACGCTGTTGAGTTCAGTTATTTCGACCATTTGTGATTTATGGTTGATTTCAGGAGCTTTTCATTTGCTCCGCCCATGTTTAACACATTTCCTAAGTGCCCGCTCATATTCATTGAAGAAAGGATGCGTCATTCGCGTGATCTACCATCAATTGTGGCGTAAATAATGATTCCATTCCATTGTTTGATGACATCAAATAAAAGTTCACTTAGCTGATTTTATTTGCACATTGAAATGGATCAATACAATTTTCCATTCGAGTTGTATTTTCTGTTGGTATAATTTTGGACGAAATAATATAGGTCTGCCACAAATGACTGTATTTGTGCTAAGTGAGTGAAATTCTAATGATGTGAACGCATATATGCTGGTCTTCATAAATATCAAAACAGACCAATTATGTTGCTATAGAGGCGATTTTCGTGTGTGCAATTTGGGAAAATGACATGTCTTGAGCCTCTGTACTCATTTACGCGTACGATGTGAAGTCATTTTCATTTCAAGCCAACTGACACTTTCCCAAGTAAGCAAGAAACATTACACATCCCACATGAGCATAATTTTTGACTGAGTCTGTGCGTGTGTGGAGTGAAGCATATTTTCACACTTGATACGTGCGACATACACTACCGTGCAAAAGTTTGGAACCACTAGGTATTTTTCATACAA